CAGATGCTACCGGCTGCAGATGTAATGAGATACATAAATACCGGGACTTGCTCAAATAAAAGCCGGCATCAGCCATAAGGACGAGCTCGGGAGCTCCCAACGCTGCTGCGTGCCAGCAGCGAGCACAGAGCAGTCAGTTGGGGGGTGTGGAGGATAGGACACCCTGCCTCTGTGAGAGCATTTTACTGAGGAAGGTGGCATATTAACTACGTGCCACGTTTCTTCTCCACAGCCCAGGCTCCAGTGCAGGTGAAGGTGCCCACGCTCAGGGCCACCTGCTTGCCACCAGGTCAGGTTTATGGGGGTATTTTCTAAGTGCCTAAAAGTGACAATACACCCTGTGTGCTTTGGGAACTGCCCTGTCATCCCAGCACAGGTCAACACAACAGGGCCCTGTCTTCATGTATGGTTCTGTTTTCACAGAATCACAGAATGTTGGGGATTGGAAGGGACCTCAAAGCTCATCCAGTCCAACCCCCTGCCAGAGCAGGAACCTAAATGAGATCACACAGGAAGGTGTCCAGGCGGGTTTTGAATGTCTCCAGAGAAGGAGACTCCACACCCTCCCTGGGCAGCCTGTCCCAGGGCTCTGTCACCCTCACTGTAAAGAAGTTCCTTCTCAAGTTTAAGCAGAACCTCCTGTGTTCCAGCTCACACCCATTGCCCCTTGTCCTACCATTGGACATCACTGAGAAGAGCCTGGCTCCATCCTCATGACATTTGCCCTTAACATATTTATAAACATTAATGAGGTCTCCCCTCAGTCTCCTCCAGGCTAAAGAGACCCAGCTCCCTAAGCCTTTCCTCAGCAGGGAGATGCTCCACTCCCTTCATCATCTTCTGGAGTCTTGGGGATAATAAAACACCCGTGTCCTGGGAGGGACCTCGTGGAGCTGGGCAGAGGGAGCACACCAAGGTGGCAGGAGGCTCCTCAGCACATCTCAGGGGAGCAAATAACCCAGGGGCCATTTACTGGTCATAGAAACAAAGCAGTCCTGCTGGACATCCTTCTGCCCATGACCAAGGGAACAGAACCATGATGATCCCAGAAGGTCATGCACTCATCCTGCATTGCTTGTAAAGGTTCAGTGGGGACAGAAGAGCAGAGCCAGAAGAAAACCCAAGGCCCCTGACTCCACTGCAGTTGCTTTGCGAGGGCGCAGGCATCCTCTGGGAGATGACTGTTGTGTTGCAGGTCTGCCCAAGAACACCTGGATTTTTCCTGAGTGTTATCTTTACCCAGAGGAAATGCCTTGGCAGAAGGATGGGTAGGGATGGGAGAGACCCAGGGTCTTCCTTATTCCCTCCCAGGGCCATTCTTGCCTCTTGGTTTGCTCCAACCTCTGCCCAGTTAATCCTCCAGTAAAACCAGTGGCGAGGGTGTCCTTTTGATATTGATGGCAGTTGGACTTGATTTCACACCCAGTTAGTGATTTTTCTTTTTTCCTTCCATATCTCTCTGATCTTGTGCCACTCTTAGCTTCCTCAGTCCCACAGCTTTTCTTAGTGTTGTTTTTTTGTTGTTGTTGTTTTTTAAAAATTATCAGTTTCCTGAAATGCATCTTTCCGTTTATTGATTTCACCTGACATCTAAAGGAAGGCAAAGCAGGAGGCTGAGCTAACTCCAACATGCCCTCACAGCTCATCAAAGCAAATCTCAAGCCTTGCTAGAGCTGCCAGGGCAGCACAGGCCCTGGGCTGAGACACCAGCCTCATGGGAGGGACACGTTCATCTCTTTGGGTGGTGGTTTTTAAGTTAAATGTACATACACACTACTGGTTACTTCAAGTTATCACCCTTGCCAGAGCATCTTTCTTTTCAGTCATCTCCTGTACACACCATAATGCTGCTTCTGGGAGTGTGGGCTCGAAGGGGAGGGAAAGGCAAGTGCTTGTGAGAGCAGGTTGTGATTTTTTTTATAAATTTTTATTGCAGAGTCACTACTTAAAATTATTTGGATGAAAAAGAGAAATGGTGGTAGGGGGATGAGAAGACAACTTGCTAGTGGCTGCAGTAGTACAGAGAACAATGCACAGGGAACAGTGCTTGCAATGCCTCAGTTCCCCCATCTTCCTTGTTCAATACCTGCCATTGTGGTTTAACTCGGCCAACAGCCAAACACCAGACAGCTGCTCACTCACTCCTCCTGCCCCTCCTCACCCAGGGAATAGGGGAGAGAATTGGAGGGGTGAAGGGAAGGAGACTTGTAGGTTAAGATAAGAACAATTTAATAACTGGAATAAAATCAACTTAAAATAATAATGATAATAGAATATACAAATGGGGGATGCTCACCACCCACTGACAGCGATCCCAGGGGAGTGAAAAAGCTGGAATCCCAGAAGAGAGAGCGCTGCTTTTCCTGGCCAGCTCTCGTTTATATACTGACCATGATGTTATGTGCTATGGAATATCCCACTGGCAGATCCAAATGCCAATTCGGGTCTGCTGATTAGCAATGCCCCCCCCACCCCACCCTGCCTGCCGCCAGTTTCTTCTGCACCTGTAGACCCACAAAACATGGGAAGTTGGGAAGTCCTTGATTTCCCAGCAACAACCAAAAACATCAGCATATCAACATTCTTCTCATGTCACATCCCATACTGAATCCTAAAAACAGCGCTGTTCTGGCTACTGAGAAGAAAATTAACTCTATCCCAGCTGAAACCAGGACAGCTTCATGCTGGAGAAGGCTCCATGGTGTCCCCAGGACTGCCAGCCATGTTACATGCCCATCACCGTGGTGTGTGGCCCCATCTTGGAAAGAGCAGCATTCCTATACAGAGGTGAGAGGACAGTTAGTTTTCCCATCCTACCAGTCATTAGCACCTGATACACCAAAGGAGCACATGTGGGGGAGAGGCAGAAACCGCCGTCAAACGGAGCTGCAGGGTAGGAGAGCACCAGTGCCCACCTCGGTCCCTGCTTGGATTTCTGGGTCACCGATGGAGCAGGGGTTTCCCTCAAGCCTTGAGCACTGCTTTGTCCCCAAGATGAAGGGAATGTCTTTTTCTCCTCCTTCTCTTTCTCCCATACACAAAGACCAGATAATTTTCCACGAACAAGGCAATTTCATTTTTAACCATGCCATTCACTTCATGGCACAAAAGCAGGACATGGAATGGGTGTTTGCTGGTGGGAGAGTGTCCCATCCTCCCCATGACCCCATGTTACATTTCTGGGAGCGGTTTAGGCCCTTCCTTTCCAGAAAGGCTCTTGTGTGGGATTCAAGGTCCCACAGCTGGTCACAGAGCTGTTGGGCTGTTTCAGAAAGAGCAACATTTCTTTGATACAGTTTTTCCTGTGATGACTTCTTTGGTGGCACTTCCTTAAAAACAAGGCTTGTTACCACAAGAGACTTCCTTTCCCACTGCTGCTGTGGGCTGGGGTGCTCCAAACCCTGGACCTTGAATCTGGAGCAAAACCAATGGCAGCTGGTTGAAGCTGAGCAGGCCAAAAAGTAACGGAGGGCAGATTGCATGGTTGAAGATTGCTCCAAGGTGTTTGTTATCCCATTGATTGACACTGATCTTGAGCCATGGAAACAGGGAGGCTCCTTGGATGCTCCTGGGGGACCATCTGCCTGAGGTTTTTCCTTCCCCCCATCTCTTTGCGTGTGTCCCACTGCTTGGCCCAGTAGCTCAGGCTAGTGGCAAAGATGGAGAAGGCACCTGGAGGTTGGAGCAAGGTGTCCTGCAGCCCAGGCTGTCCGGGGAAGGTGTCCTGGGGTGTAGTGTAGGGATGAGCAATGTCCTTCTGCGTCTGCTGTGTCTCATAACCCCGCTGCAACGTGCAGGCTGTGTAATGGAGACATCCTGGTAGCTGCAGTCACCATCTCCTTTGGGACAGTCCAGCTCTCTGTAAACAGGCTGTGCAAAGCTCCAGCTTCATGATTCTGCTTCGTTCCCATCCATCATCTGGCTGATGGTTACCGGCCTGTGTGCCCTTCGGGGGCTGCAGCCAGGTCAGC